ATAAACGCCGATGGTTGTATATTACAAAAGCTGCACAGTAAGCCAAACCGCACGTAAACGTTGGGCCTAAATGCGTGTGTACAACAAGTTATAGGGTGGTTTCCGTAGAGGTATTGAGTCTAATATGCCTGAATGATGCTTATTCTGATCATGCCCTAAATAAAATGTACATTCGTCAAACGTTCTCCTTTATTGCTGTGTATGTGATTTCAAATAATTTATTTGTAATGAACTTCGAAATATACACATTGGATAGTAGGAATTATTTAAAAGACAATTGGAGCAAAAAAAATATTCTTTTCGATGAAGTCATCAACTAGGGTGAACGCAAACGTGTCTACAGTGTGGTTACAGAACATCTGGTGAAATCAAGACATAGAGCTGCGTTTAAAATGTCCTTCAAAGTAATATAGAAGATTTAATCAAACCTTATCATAGAGAGTGAGATCCAGAAATATAGGAATAGCTGAGGCACTCGCATTTCAAAATCTCAAGCTCAATCTATTTGTGGCGGTCATGAAAAGTAAGACCCGCTAATGATAATTATCCAGTTGCCTTTCCTGTGATACCTTTCCGTTTATTTCTATATCTGCATTTCTAGGTTTATTTGCTGTTGTTTTATTTTATATGTTCGATCTTCCTACCTATTTTGTTTATACTACGTGTCTCATCCATAATTATGCAAACTGACGACTTATCCAGTAAGTGTAATCTTATTATGTATTTTCTGCCGGATCTTCCTGATTATTATATATAAATATTGTTTCCCTGGGATCCTAGTGGAACATGGTCCTGATTATCACACTTTTTAATTTTAATAATTCAATTTTTGATTGCAGGTAATTGTTGAACTTTCTCACCCATTTACTATAAGTACACGAATGTACGGCCCGGTTGATAACTTCGTTGGGGCTGCGTAATATTTTAATTGTCTATGATCCGTTAAATACCTACATTCCAGAAACTATTTTGTGAAGTACATAACCAGTTATATTTGTCACAGTTCCAAATAATACTGAAATATGCACAGATTTGCATCTTGATGATAGATTTATTGAAAACATGCCCTTCACTGAGTCACTTGTTTTGATTTCCAAGTTTTCCAAGAATTAAAATGTAGCAAAACTATATTCGACTATAAAGCTGAATGCATTAATGAAACCTAAGACTTACCAGTACAATAAACGATACCATGAAAAAAGTTGAAACATTGCAGAGTATCTGAAAAATACAGAAAACAATGTCTCATAAACGAATAAATACACTCAGGTTGTATTTAAATATATATATATGTATATATGCGATATATATCTCAGTGTAGTTAATAAGAAAATATACACTGTCTACATGTGAAAACCTATCATGATATCTTCAAACCAAAGTCTGTAATATGCCTGGAAAAATCGCTCTGAATCATAACAGGGAAACAAACTGCCTATTTTTTTACATATGTATTTATTTATGTGGCCTACGGTCTTCATGTTCGAAGACTAATCAACAAACTCATACAACTCCCTCAAACTGAAGCTCAGATTCGAAAATCTCGATATTACCAACATTCGTTGTCTAAGGCGCGGGTTACTTTATTCCTAAATATAACACGACAGACTAATTTTAACAAAGACTAGATAGTTTCAAAGCGGATAATGAAAGCAAAATGATAAGTTTCAACTGTAGCTGTTTGTATGCAAAAATACCTTTAAATATGAATGAATAACTTGTAATTTGAATTGAAGTATCACTACAAAATATTATGTAGCATTTAAATTTCAAGGACGGATATACAAACAAAGTGGGAGAGTTGCCATGAGATCACACATATCCTCGATAGTAGTAGATCTTTTTATGAATAGGTGGGAAAACTTAAAGATTGAAATGTCCATCTACACTCCATAGTATAGTGAAGGTTTATGGATGACACACTGATACCACTGAAAGCACAAGATATCAGTTCGTTTTTCAAAACAATGACTCAACATAGACACAGTTCAGCAAACTCATAGAGAGTGAAGGAGAGGATCTTCCGATATTTTAGGTTATACTATGAAATAGGAAAGCATTTGAACAGTTGAACACTGGTGTTCACAGAAAATCCACACATTCAAAACCGATAATTTGTATTTTGGTTCATTCCAGTAGTGCACATTGAATAAACATTGTCAAAAGAAATCTAATGCAAGAAGAAGGATATACAAAATTTTCGAAATTTATTAATTACTCTGATTATTTATTAATCAGGAAGTCTTTAGAAAAAAAGTAAAAATAAAATTATTTCTGTGAGCAGACGGGAAACTGACATTGATGCAGAATAACATGGATTCATTATATTTCGTAGATTCTCATCAACTGCATACAAGCACTATTTTTGGTCTGTCAACTAGCATATTGTAACAGCGTCACAGTGTGAAAAAAACACTGACACGATAAGGGTAGCTGAAGTATTACAGTGTAAATATGTAAATCTTGTTTGAGGGAAGTTTCTTCAAAATGAATTTGCAAATATGTTGTTAGGGTGGTTACAAAACTTACCATCAGTTGCCTAGTTGTTTGAAAAAGATCATTATTTGGTGTGCAACAGGTCACATGAAAAGATGACCATGCAAGTGATGAGTAGAATTCATAAAGTCAAGAGGAATTATCCCCAATAGACATCAAACTGATAAACGGGCGAAGGTGCGGAGGGAGTTAAGAGGTAAGTAAATGAAGTTTAGACAACAAAGAGTTACTAAAAATGAGTCTCCAGAGTAAGTGAATTCCAACGACAGATTTCTTTTGGACATATAGGTCAGGTTTAAGCTGCTTTATTTATATACCCTCAGCAGGCCGCAGAAGACTTCAGTGCCTTTTTTGTCTGTTAATTATTTTGAATAATGGCAGAGCATCAACTCGGTGTCCTGTGTCTATCAGATATTTGAAGGTAGAAGACTTTAAGCTGTTTGTTTTTTTACCAGAAGACCCCAGGTGCACATTCGAATAAACAAAGGTATGCCCTTCTTTCTTTCCTCTGATACAAGTGAATTGTCATGTGTAGTCGGAGGTAATATGCAATCGGTACTTGTCGATCTTGTACTTCATCAACAAGTAGGATATTCGGAGTAGTGAGACTAGTTTTGCGTACAAGACAGGGTCGCTCCTAATCTTTTATTCATGACACTGTTAATATCACCCCCTATATTGGCTTTTTCGAGGAGAATTTGATACTTGTTGAATGTGATCAGCTTTCTCGCGTTCATTCTTGTCGTGATTGTTAATTCAGCTTGCAAGCACTTCTTGAGCAGCATTAGCTCACTTTCAAATTTGTCAGGTGAACATATGCTTTTCGCTATAGACAAAAGCATTTTAATCGTTTGTTGTTTGTAACTGATTGGATGACAGCAATTGATGTTCAAGTGGGTACCGGTCGATAAGTCTTAACAATGTACCTGTCTTTTAAGTGTATCATCTGTTTTCTCGCCAACTTTACATCGGAGAAGTGGAAATCGACAGCGTCATCTTGGTTCATCGTGAAAGTGATAATTTTATCTACATTGTTGGGCTTATCGAACAAAAAGACAGAAATGTGACCAGTAGTACTTACATTCAAGAAAAGAGCCCTTGAAATGCTAATAAACACTTACAAATACAGAAACAGAAGTGGTATTGAAATCCACTTACTCAAAAATTATGTCAGTTAAGGGATCTTGAGAAGCCTCCAAAGCAAAACTATTTACTTTATCTAATAATATGAGTTGATTGTCAGGTTAAATGCATCGATCAAAGTTGTCAGCTAGAATCAAGTAGAATAGCTGAGCACAAAACTGGCGAAATCTAGATAAGCTGAACCTTATTAAGAAATATATCTAGAGAGTGGCCAATCAAAAGCACTACGTGCGACTACATGTAACCAAACAACAGCATGGGATAAAATGGCAGTATTGTAGCCAAATACAGCATGCGTGAAAGTTGAGATTGAATACGGACACCATATTTATCGAATGATTCAACACCTGTCACGGATATCTGAAATTTACGTGGAATTTAATACTACCACACTGCTCATGCTGTTAGTACAAACACTATCACCACTTCATTAGTAGTCAATACTGGAATTCACAGAATACTATCGTTATGCTTACGAAGCAAATCAGTCTCCGTTCATCAAGCTTTACATCTGTGAGAGTTGAATCCGATCAATGGAATCGGCTGGTGTATGTCTAATTGATTTCAGTGAATTCACATTCATTTTTAAGTCATACTTTTAAGTATTGCAGGCGAAGTTATACTGTAGACACGAATTAAGCTCAAACACAGAAATCACCATGGTATACTCATTGAGAGCGAGGTGGTAAAACCGCATAACTAACACTAAATTCAGGAAAAAACAATGTTAAATGAAACGTCATGAGAATACACAGGATGCCTGGATAGTTTTAGATCAGAATAGGAAAAGCCTGAAGTCAGGTTTACGATAGGTTCGCGTGAGTGTGGTGTGAAACCAGCTGGGAAGATATTAGTTTAAGGTTAGAGGTGTTCTCGTGTTAGGAACTAAAATTCGTATATTACATCAATTTCATATTCTGCAAAACTCACTTGTCTAAAGTGTAACTTTGTCAGATTGTGAGCGAAAGTGTGAACATTTAAAGAATAATTCACGGTTTCTTTCATGGATTGTCAACCGCTGATTTAAATTCAGTATCCACAAAGGAAAGAACCAGACGCATTAGACTAACAAGTGTCCGATCACAGTATCCAAAACGAGCATACGGTAGATAAGTCACGACCCTGAACAGCTCAGTGGTAGCGTCGCTGACCACAGCACTGGGTGATACGAGTTGGAACCTCAAAAGGATATGAGTTCTTTCAAGTTTGCAGATAAGCCTTGCTGATAATTGCAATCCGACACAAAACCTACGCCTAAGGCTTCCTGCTGACTGCCTCTAACTAGTTGATAATTCAAAATTTTCATCTGATTTCATAAACAATCGATATCAATCTTTCATTTGATAATTACTGAGACTTACACTTTTAGGTAAAGTTCCCGGGATGAAGTAATAACAAATCTTTGTGATGAATGCTAAGACAGCAAAGACTATAAAGAAGATGAATCCCTTTTCACTCAGTGACGGTAGTTGCAGAGACAGCACAACTGTTGTAACTGTCAATATAATGGTGATAACCAGCGACATCCATAGAAATGTCCATTTAAAAGAGGTGAACGCAATAGCTAAGCTCACGGACCACAGCACAACCTATAACACAAATAATACAAAATAATAATAAAATAATAGGGTTGCGAAGATTCGACATATTCGTTTCTATTGGTACACAGAACTTAAGTGGAATATTTTGATTGCATTGGTACTTTGCAACAGGTAAGTTTTCTTGGATTACGCCCAACCTATATCCATTTGATTTCCCCATTTAACAGATCGCTAGAATATTGACAGGTTTATATTATGATCTGAATCGTGCGTGGGACAAAGATATCTGTTGATAAAACTTTTTTTCAGCCTTTTGAAACTTCTCTCAGTAACTCCTGCAAAGAGTTTCTGACTCTTAAAGAATCACTTATGTCTCACTAATGTTTGCAATTCGGAAGCTGTTCTATGTTTGCAGTGCTGCTGACCTCCACATATATCTTGGTGTAATGAACGCCATTTTACACTCTCTACGCAGTCAAGTATCCAATCAGATGATGCAGTAGTCTTTCTATGTCAATTTATGAAGGTAGTGTTTCCAGACTTTATTTTTTTCACACGTAGTGAAGTGTATATGTCCACTGTTTCCTTTTGCAGTAAGTTTTGAAAGGATACCCTCATTACGTATTAACTTCATGGAATCTAAGGCATCTGCTTTAGTCAGAGGTAGGTGATCACTGATAGTTCTGAACGGTTTATAGCCAGTAGTGAATTGACGAGCCCTTTGAAATGATCCTCTTAGCGTTTAGTTAGTTAAAACCCTTTGTCACCAGAGTTGACTTCATTAGTATTCACTAGTTTCATTTATGTACACCGTCTCAGAGATAGCAAACTGGTTAAATAATGTAGTATACCGCAGCCTGCCTTTACAGCAAATGGTTCTTCTCAAGTTGCTTCTGTTATATCTAAGAGTCTTTAGTATTTCTTAACAGTCTTCTTGGCTCCTTTGTTTGTTGCTCTGCAAGCTGTGCGTTACTTGAGAGATTTTTACAACTTCATTAGAGTCTTTGACGCTGATGGAGAAACAGTGACAGCTACTGTCACAGTGTCTATTTAACCACTTGCGGAGACTGTTTTCATCTTAGTTGCCCTCACAGCTTTTTGTCCTCTTATTTTCCTGCGAAACAAGCGCAAACACTAAACACTTGCCTTTGTTTTTACAGAAAGAATACAATTTGGAAGACTGTCTTGTCAAAAAGCTTCACATTCTGCTCTCAATTGTCATCAAACTGAAGCGTCTTCCACATTTCAGTGAAGTATAAGATTATTTCTTTGTAGTTTCAGTTTCTTTTTCAATGGAGTGGCTTGCCGCATATCCAAAACTATTCTCTGTGCTTAGAACCTGCTAGTTCGTGAAATAACTGTATGACAGGTGACATGATAAAATGCAAATTTTTGCCAAGAGGACTGCAGTAGTTTCCCACCATCCTGTGAAAATTGTTACTGTATCATATCCTTAATCACTGCAGAGCCATGTTAAATCTGAACATCTACAGTAAGCCTATCTACTTGAAGATGTAAACGACCGATTCTTGAATTGGATGTCATCAACATTTTTGGATTTGGCAGAGGCCATCGTATCTCAGCAATATGATGTCTGGCATTACTCTGCATGAAGAAAATGCAGTTTTTCCTTCACATGTATACGCAATGAATCCACACGAAGTTCACACTCGCTTGATATCAGTATAACCTGAACTGAGAAGATGAAATCTATTTCTTTTAGAATGGACTATGTATAACAAAGTGATACAACCACTATGATTCTGTCAACATATGAGTATCACTTTATTTCCTATTTGGTTCAAGTCATTTCTCAGCTGAACTAATACACTCACTGTACTTATGTTTTCCGAATATCAGATTAATTTACTTCTCAGAATTTCCAAGTGATGGAAGAAATCGGCATCCTCTGCCTTATACATTTTCTTTTAAGTTGATATGAACAATGCTACCACAATGTATGATAACGGAAGTGTTGATGTGCACTGGATTAACACGTTAAGGATGTCATCATGGGTAGAAAGGTTTTCAAAAACAATAAAACCGACAATCATCCTTCGCAAAAGTAAATCACTGAGATTCTACTCCGTTTCATACAGGAATAAATAAAAACAATACGTACCACGATTGTGAGCAGCAGTCGAACAGCAACATAATGTGACAAATAAAAATAGATGTAACAGAATGGCACCGATCAACCTAAAATAAAATTTGCAAACATCGACATCAACTCACATCAGACAGTACGAAATTTATTGAAATTATGCATTACATGATAAGTGTGTTGTGAGTCACAGTATTAAAATCTCTAAATGTATATCTATCAAGTGGTACCATTTTAGTAGAGATAGATAGGCTATATTTTATTGTTCAACACATGATCTTAAGTCTCCTTCATTTTGAGGAGAAAAATTCTAGATAGTCATTCTGCTTGATCATTTTTTATGAAGAAAAAGGAGATTCAACATTCTACGTCTTTGGCGTTATTTGTGACAGAAGACAGGATAACTCCTTGCGAAAATATCTTCTACCGAAAGCCGACCTTTTCCATAGCAGAACACTTACCTCAACAGTAGGCAAGAAGGGAAACCATACCCATTTGCTGTGTCATGGTGTTTGAATATGTGCCCCAGGAATAGATCTGATGATGAAACACGAAATTTTCATGCAACAACCTTTATTAATAGAAACTCTGGAAGTTTTACTGAATAGAGAATATGGGGATAAAACGCTAATGGCGATATCATAGGGGCAAAGGAAGCACTGTCTATGAGTTTAGCATTAAAAGGTAACACTATTTTTCAAGTAAAGGGGAGTAATTTATCCCAGTGCATTGAACGCCGATTTTATCTCTCTACAGTCTAAGTAAGAGGAAAGAACTACCACGTTTGCTTATCATTATGTGAATCTACTTTTCCGCATGATAGTGTGAAGTTGATAACATTAAACGTTGTAAGCATGTTTTCCATAAACGCCAAGCACAGCTACATTTACTTAATAAATTTGAACATATGATGACGAAGAACTCCACATGTTAACCCTTCGTTCGACCAGGATATCAAACCCCATGTGATTCACTTCATCGTTAGTAGGTAGATTCAGCCACTCTACAAATTCATGTTCTGTCCACTGAAGTATACGTTGAGCTCTAGCTAGACATGGATACAAACCTTAACTGTGTATTCCAAAGTGTCTTGCTAGACCCTATTGTTTACTTTGGTCGCAGTAATGTTTTAGTTTTTTAAATTGTATTCTATCAATTGAGTTAATTCCATTTCTTCATCATGACTATCAATGCACAATTGGTTTTTGAAAACACCTGGCCAAACTTAGAACTCCTAATATCATTTCACGTATATGAAAATCTCTGCAAATTTTGTAATGCATCCCTCTAAGAATGAAATTAAGTCGTCGAGAAGAAATATTTCTTCGGTGACCAAATCTATGTATTCCTTATTAGTGAATAAATGGCTATATTTCATGATACATAAAAGTCTTGCCTAGCAAATCTGCATTTTGCGTATGAATTACTTTTCACTTTACACAAACCTCGAGGAATTTACAAGAAGAAGTTAGCAATTGACAGTAGCGACGAAGAGAAGATGAATCTTCAGGTAAACAAAGATAGAAGTCAAAAACCACCAGCGCCAGTCAACGTGAATAACATAAATCTAATCAGACTTCTAGATTTAACATATACTCACGAAGCGTTGACTCAACAACAAGCAATGATGAAGAACCATGGTTCATCCAGAATCGACAAAGCAAAACAGGTGTTTGCTATTCTGAATTCAGTACCTATAGCAAGACAAATCCCAAAAAAGTCAACACCTACAACTAGACACTGCATTGATGAACCTCATGATCAAACGTATATTCAAAAGGCTGCCGAAGGCTTTGAACAACAGATGCTTTTGCTCAGTAATGAAAATAGAGTAGCCAGTTGGAAAGTATAAAGAATGATGCAGCTAAAACCATATTACTCAATAGTTTTGCAAAATGAAATGGTTAGGCATCCGTCATGAGCTGAGACGCGATTCAGGTGACATGTGCTAGAAAGATCAGCATAAAATTGTTACCATCCTGCGACCCTTCATGTGACTGGATAACTGATAAATTACATCACTTTTTTCTTGCCTTGATCTCGGTCAAATCATCAACCGATCAGAATACTTATTCTTGCCTATCTTAACCTAATCGCCTATCAGTAAGAACAGTTCATTTCCACTGTCCTGGGCCGATTTTATCATGGTTTAAAATACATACATGTCGTGCTTTTCTCTTGATAAAAAGATATCCTTACAGTTATAAGCCAGTCTTTGTCGTTCGATATTTATATGGTTCAGTGAAGCGGAAAACATCAAGAACTAAAACGCCTACCTAGCATATTAGCCGAGTTGTTCATTGAATCGGTATTATTAAACCCGCTCAACAGCCAACTACGTTAAATCAGCTGTCAATGAGATCATATCAATTAGCGACAGGCGCATAACAAAATTGGCAACATAAATCATAACACATGACATGCCATTTCGTTCAATATAAGTCGAACAGAACTTGACGGGTTGCACGTCTGAGTGGCAAGTAAACGAGAGCATTTGAACAGGTTGTCGCAAAAAATGAGATTAACTGAAGTCTACTGCAGCAGACCGAATGTAATGAAGATTCCCCCCTGAATGCGTCTGTTTCGCTCAGAATACAAAGGTCGGACAATGTATTGATAGTTAGTTAAGGTAAAACGACCAGCATTATTAACAATATAATAGTATTGTGGAGACACTTAAGGCCTACATAATTTCACCATTGGAAGAATATATGCACAAGAGACTGAGACGCCTTCCTAATATCTCAAAAATAAGTGACGCACACACACGAAGAATTCATGAAAGTCCAGTTATTTCATTAAAAAATAACCGCATCAATCCACAATATGAAATACTTTCCAATAAGTGTTATGTGAACAAATTTCTAAAAACCAGTTGACTGTTGTCACCTAGTTAAGACGGGTACTGGAATATCGACAAATATGGAAAGATAGATTGGATTAAAAAATAATTAATTTAGGAACGAATCAACATTGTCATGACATCCATTAACAGTATACTGCACAACTTAATGTGAAATAGTGTATTTGAGAGGGACATAAATGTAGTTTTGATGAAGACACTTAAGGCATGTAAATGACAGTTATATAACACTAGATGAGGAAATTCGCAAGCATTAATTGATAGATCGACCAGTCCTTCAAAAGCTTAAGTCTAAAATATAAACAGTGAAAGTGTTCACTTCACAGTTCAGTGGACATTATAATTTATTTACCATGTGTGGTTAGTCGCTTCAGTGGACTGCATTATAAGTGAATTCCACTTATCATAGTTAGTTAGCAAGAGTTGATTGAAGAATAAATAACGATATTAAATAGTCAATGAACTTACACAAAGATAAATAACAAATAATGATATTCCTTGAAGAAGTCAGAAAGGCGTTCTCTGTAAAACAAGGTAATACCTTTTTTATTTTGTTTATTTGAACCTTACACTGCCAGTATTACGATGAATATAACGACTGTCACCAATAGCATAAGACATAAATCTACAAAGAACTAAAAATTAAATAATTCAATCAAAATGCTATGATATTCATACCCAAGTATTATAACTTCTAGATGCCACATTTTGTTGTGCCTGATTGTTTGATGTCGAATTTGTATAAGAGGAATCAAAAGGTGACATATTCGTGTGTCCTAAAATTTGAAGAAGAAAAGACCAGTTGATAAAATGGTCGAAAAAACTGTGATGGCAACGCTTGCGTGATAAAAATCTGTATGACTTTAATGTCAACTTATTGTTTGACATTCTTAAGAAGAGAAGCTATTTATTGCCTTTTCAGAAGTCTGTCTGGATTACAACTGAATATTGCGTGAGACTGACTGCTGCTTGTGAGTTTCTTCGAGTGAACATCCATTATCATGAGGAAGTGTATACTGCAGTAACCCAAGCAACACGGAGCTATGCATGAACAAATAAACTCATCTCCATATAGAACGAAATAATTTCCATTTTGCTGGGGATGCACCTTTTCAAAATCCATGATATGCCATAATGAACCATGAATTTAAAAGAAATACAGCCAGCCATAAAAGTTTTCAAACTGTTTATTTACAGAATTTTCCGTGGTACTGACACCTAGAGAACACTCTCACTAATCCTAGTTTTGATGATTTACTTGAGGAGTAATTGAATTCTTTGGTCACCTACAATGATACTGCAATTCATTTCAATTCACAATCCAGCATATTTAACTTCAGTGAAAATTCACGCCACTATTCAACGAACATTTCATTCCAGGAACATCAAAGAATTGAGTGCATGGATGGCAGGACTTACATTCGAGAAATTCCTTCGACCATTTACTTTTATATAAGTGTTCAATTCTCAGCATTTCTGTTTAAAGTGAAAAAAAATTAGTGCATGACGTAATGTTAGTTGACACAGGTTATTTGTTTAGAGAATTTCGACTGGCGGAATGATGCTGTGCATATATTTCTTATCCTCCATTTAACGTTCATCTTTGTAATTTTGCGTTCTCTACTGCTCAAGTTATTAAAACGCTTTTTAGTTGTTCACTGCTCTTGCGTGTTGAAGGCATTGGAGAATCACGTTTATTGTTTGTAGGTTTTTGTGAAAGGATTGATCATTTGTGTTTTGCTCTGTGAGTAACCCTGAACAGTCGGAAGCACACTTATGTCTTTCTAGTTTAATACTGCTTTATTTAGGCTTTTTTAGCCTAAAAAACACAAGTCGGCGGAAGTTCGTGCCTACGTTATGACTTTTGAAACCTTTAGATGACGAAACTCTTGCGTGTTTGAGTGCCAGCTGATTGAGAAAGGTGGAATAAATACCCGTCAAATCACTGTAATTTTCAGGGTATACGCCATTCACGGAACGGCTAACTACTGTAGGTACTATAATATAAGAGATTTGATAGAATGAACCAGTATTTCTGAAGAAAACAATTCATGTCCATCTTACGAGTCATAAACTCGAATGCATTTTCCTGTAATTCGTTTGAACGTTTGTGTTCAACATAAAACATGGGATTGTGTTTATTTTCGCCTGTGAGTTTGCTTCAACTGCATTTTCTTAATCATACTCCATTATGCATCACCTCTTAATATTGCCTGTGTACAATGATTCCCCTTTGCAAATTGTGGTAACACTTCAATGTCGCACATTACTCCATCAAAAGCAATCCACATTGTTTGACGCTTGATTAAAATTAAAGTTCATCCACTCACTGACACACAACAAACAAAATCGAAACAAACTGGATTCCACTATTATCCTTCTACAAGTGACGTTGACCAGGAGGATAGGGAAGAATTCTACAGATAACTGCAAGTAGCAATGTACACGACACGACAAAGCAGCATCAAAATGCTAAAATGGAAGCAGACAATAAGGGAAGTCGACACTTTGTAGGTTGGGAGGTTGTGCATGAAAAACATGAGGACGATGGACCCTTCACATATTTCTCTGCCTTCACTCAATCGTTCACTGCAGGTATCAGTATAACTTTCACGAAATGACGTATGTTTCATCACTTGGAAACATCAAATGTCAGATGATCCTCATCTCAACCTCAGGAATGTGATGGTTCAGCACTCTGGACATAAAACTGATTAGAGAATCAGACGCGACATATTGGCAAGCGAAGCAGAATATGTCGCAGGGTAGGGAAGCCTCATATTACTTCATCAGTTAAATACGTTGGTATCCTCGAAAAAACCAACACAGATTACACCAAAGAGGACAAACAGAAAAGAGTTGAAACGACGTAAACTCTCAAAATAGACCGTCACTGTACTCGCAGTGAATACCCATCCTCCAACAAAAGCAAACTTTCCGAATACTTTAATGTTACTGGAAGTCAGGAAGGCGACAGAATCAGATGAAATTCCTTCGTAAGCAACTCATCGCATATACTCACGTCACTGGTGCATTGCATTTTGGATGAAGGAAATTTGCATGGTGGTCGGGGGGATAAGCTACCATGTCAAACTATCTGAGTAAAGTGACTTATACATCTGCAAGAATTGAACGGGGAATCATGTTTCCTCCTAATTCAAGCAAAATACTAACTCCTTTCATCCTGGAGAGAATAAGTGATGCATGAATGAAAAATTCTCCCCCTCCACAATTTAGGAAAAGCAATTCATGTACGGATCAAATCTCAGCGCTACGCCTCATCATCGAAAAGAGCACAGGATGGTAATAAAATATCTGCCTCAAAAAGACTTTCGACAGCATTGGACATTACGGAGTGCAATGCCTAGAACAGCTAAGTGAATATGGCAAATGTCGAGTGATTCAAAACAGAAAGCTAAGTGAGGCTGACCGCCAATGATGCTGCTGGTTTTGGTGAACTGGGTCGTGCAACAGATAGTGAGCAGCAAGAGGATGTTCATTCATAGTTCAAACAAGCAGATTCAAGAAGGTTTGAATTTCGCCGAAGTTTTGTGTCTGATATCACAAAAACTCGAAGATCTGTAGTGGAATACGAACATGTAGGCGGAAGAAGCAGCTAGCGAAGACACGTATTCACGTGAGAATAGAAAAAATAGAGGTGATGAGCACAACTAATCAACCAACCAACTAACAGAAAATGCAGAAATATGAGGGAAGTCATTTCTCATTATTATTCAGGCAGCATCCTTTCAACTACACATGACAGCAAGGGTGAGAAAATCGCAGTCAGTTAAGGTCGGAAAAGCAGGACAGAATTACACCGCTTTCAAATCAGAAGGCGAGTCTATTCCACCCAGTATAAGAAACGAGATCTGGGTCTTCGACGCTGACGTCAAATCATTGCTTCCACATTATTCAAAGGCTTTTCGTGTTGAAAAGAACTTTTACAACAGGCATTCGGAAACTTTTGTCAACACCTGATTTTCATGCCCTAGTACTGAAGACAGGGGGGCAAGAAAATGTTCGCAGCAAGGAAGTCTTGCGAAAATCCGATCATCATAGGTATAAGATAAATTGTGAAACCTTGCGATCAAAACTGATATGATTATGATCAACTATTTATGCTCAAAACGCCATCCAGTTGTTGTGATATTTAAAATAAGCTTATCTTATATGGAATTACATTCAACCACAGTGCCTGCGTCCTAATCTTACATCAATCATGAACCTACTGTACAACAACATGCCAGGAGAAATGAAGGTGGTTAGCACACGCTTTAAGGAGACCATAGAATGATATCACATGACATTCTGTTTAATGAAACGGGAATGGGAAATTAGGAGGTGATCGGCAGTATGACGGTAACGTGGTGGAGATTATGCGCACGATAAACAGAGGTTAATAGGCAGTTGCGAAGCCAGCTCCACAGGACTGCAGATAGGTGGATGGTATGGAGATGTGCAGTCGAGGTCCTTTGTCCCACTCAAAACTCAGAAGAGTAACAATAATAGTTATCTGAAAAAGAAGTTGACAACTGCTAAGAGACGAGTAGATAACACTAAGCCCCAGACCTTTTTTTCCAATTCACACAAAGTACCTTCCACTACACCCAAAAGTCAGTTGAAGGGTTTCAGTTATGTGCTTCGCATCACCAAACAGCAGTGATAATTCGTGCAGCAGTAATGGTAGAAAAGTGAGTGAATCCCTAGACAGGCGTTAATTCAAACTATTGAATCAGTAAGTGTTTTTCTGCTACCATAAATGTCATCACGCGTAGACAAGAAAGTGAATTCCACCTTTGTCACATGATGATAAAATTGGTCATCCTCAAAACGAACCAAAGTATGCATCTTTGATTCCTAAAAATAAGTTATGTCTACGAAATACATGAAATATAACACAATCTATTGGTTGAAACCATACTTGACCATATATTTATGGCTGATATTTATACGCAGCCATGTAGAGATCTTGATAAAATTACTCACCAGGTTTTACTGTTTTCTCCACACTCTGAGGATTTATGATTGTCTGAAGGTCAATCATTAGAACTAAAATACACAAACCGATGGATATAAGTGTCAAGTATATGGACTGAACATTCTGATAGATTAAATGTTGACCTGTGGGAGACATGAAATCAGGCTTTCTGACTTTGTCTAACTAATTATTCATGAAGTGTGACTGACCACCATGCATTATCGACACACATAAAGATAAACTGCACAATCTGCTAGTAATCAGCGACAAGTGATCAGGCCTTTTAGTCTCATTAAAATTACTGTTCAACTACAGCCCAACTCATCTCAGCGTGTAATTTCCACATGCACACTAAATATTCTGCTGGAGACTGTCAACTTTCCTGAAACAGATAAAGCAATATCACTCACTTCGAAGCACCAGTTTCCTGCTCTACTTTACAATAATGATTGAAATGTTATAACGCCTAGGTGACATTATATATGAAAAAGAGAAGACATTCAGCGAAGAGACTCTTTTCGGCGAATTCATTCACATAGCTGTACAATCGCATTTATATATTAATATTTGTGTGTGTGTGTACATGAGGTTTGTCAAGTTTAGATAATTGATTAGTTAATACAAGAATGATGTAGTATAGAGACAAAGTTAATC